AAAAGTTTAATAAAAGTTTCAAAACGTATCTAATTATATTGAAATATATATATATATATTTAAATGTTACTGGGGTTCACTGTCCTGAGACTCCAAGTTGTAATGACCATGTGGTATGCATAAATTTCTGAAAATATTTTTAAGAGTAAGAGATAACTGACATTAGTATATAGCACATTACCATCCAGCCAAGTTTGTTTTTTGAATATAAATGATATTTAATGCTTTCTTCTTCCTTTAGAATAATCCTAGCAAGCAAGTATAATAAAATAATGCCCAGGTAACAGATGACAAATCTGAAATTTAGAGACATTCTGACATTCAGATCACCAGCTAGTAAATGACTGTGAGGCAAGACTCAAATCAGCAACTGTGGCTTTAAACTTAGCACTACTCCTGTGCACCCAAGTCTCAGAAGACCAGGAATAGACTGCCAGAACTTGACTTTTTGTTTTGTGTTGTTTTTTAAGTATACTAATTTATCTCCATGGATAGAGAAGCAGAAAATTTATCTTATTGATAAGGCAAAAAATTCAGAGAATATCTACATAAACCTGAATTTCTTAGTTTTTTAGCAAGTATAACCTAAAAATATATATATAGACATATATACATATACATATATACATATATATACATATACATATATATATATATATATATATATATATATATAATAGACATTTGATGAATAAATACATAATACTATATCATACATTTTTATGACAAGAATCTTACATATTTCAATCTGGAATCTCTGAACCATTCCCTATCCTTCCAAAACATAAAAATATCTACACTATACAAATTTTACTTCAAAACTTTATTTAAAAGAACTAAAATGATACTTACAAAAACTTTATCTCCGACCACATTTTCCAGATTTAACTGCCTTGTGATTTCCTTTAGAGCTATTTTATCATTGATCTGCAGCAGTCCTGAAATAAAGTCCCATTAAAAAGTAATTAAAATGAAAAACATATTTGATGCAATGCAGATTATTTCCCTGTCAAGTATGCTTTTTTCCAATACTTTCTAAACTTAACTAGAAAGAAAAGTGTCAAAGCCTGTTAGTTTATACTATTTCATTTTAAACAGCAATGCAGACATTTGGTAGACTCAAAGAACCGTCCACCTCGGAAAAAGTGCTATTTAAAAAAAAAAGTAAAAAAAATTAAGGCAGCACAGAGCTCTTATGTGCTTCCTTTTTTATATTTTTTAATTTTTATGTATAGAATGATAAAAGTTGTTAAGCATGGATCCAGTTTTTCAAATCTAATTATTAATACACATTTAAAACATACTGTTATGGGTTGAATTGTGTTCCCCAAATATAGGTGTTGTAAATCCTAACCCTTATACTTGTGGTAATACATAATAACGTTAATGTTACATCAGTGTGGAGTGTATCTTAAGCCAATCACCTTTGAGATAAAACATAAGCAAATTAGGCACAGAAAGGCAAGCAGAGATGGGGAAGATACATGTCATATCACATGAGGATCGCCAAGAAAGCAAGGAAGAGAAGCTGAAAAGAGACAAAGACCTTCCCTAGAGTGGACAGAGAGAGAAATGTCTCCTAGAGTTGACAACCTGAATTCAAACTTTTAGCCTCCTAAACTGTGAGAAAATAAACTTCTGTTTGTTAAAGCCACCCACCTGTGGTATTTCTGTTATAGCAGCACTAGATAACTAAGACACCTACAAATGAATTTAGTTTCAGAGTATAAAAAGCCCACCTGATTTATGTCATTTCCAATGGCAAAACGGTAACATACTTACCATTTAGGTGAACTTGTAATATATTTTCATTCACTTCTTCTATCTGCATGAGTTCCTTTAAAGCATGATTTATTAACTAAATAAAATTTTATAAAATATTTAATAAGAGGTAACAGATGAAAAGAAGATCATTTTCTCTCTTAAACTATGAATGGAAAGAACAGAATATAAATAGACTGTCTTTTTAAATTAACAAGTGCATATTCAGATTCCCTAAATATAAAAGGTTTAACTAGAACATCTCACATCTGACTCCTTTTAAGAGGCAGAGTCAGGACAGATGCCACTCTCTCAATCAGCTACCCAAACTTGTAAAAAATACTTAGAAGCAACCCTCAAGTTTTAAAAGAAATATTTCTCTGCAAGTCACACAAAACTATGGCTTATGAATTTCATGTTTCAGTACATTATAAATCTTTCTTAGCAATGAAAACAGATACAAGCTACTGAAATACATATTAGAACAATACTAAATGATGGTAAAAGTCTATCCCCAATATATCAATTCTTACAGAATATTGCAAACTACTCTGTTGTTACCATGAAACAAAAATCAAAAAAGTAAGAGACAGTAGGAGGTTAAGTTGAGAAAAAAATATTCCCTCAATTAGTTGCTAGGTACACAGAGAAAGCCCTTATTAAAGAAACTTCAAACGTGCAACATAAAAAATTTATTATTAAAATGTAAATTCATAATTATACACAGAAACATGTATAACACCTTAAACTCTGTAACTATAAAGCTTCGTATAATTAAAGGTTTCTATGCCATATATGGTGAAACCTGTGAGAAATGGAACTCGAGTTCTCCACCTTTGACAGGGTGTAGTCACCACTTTCTATCACTCTCTATTTAGTGGGAAATATTTTTCAGTTTTCTTTCTCTGACAGGTTTCCCGCATTATATAGGTTCCAGCTTTTGTGCGTTTTACTGTACTTGCATTCTTTATATTTTTTTGAATTGTGACATTTGATCACTCTTATAGTGCAGTATCATACACATCTCTTCATATTATTACTACACAGCATCTTTTAAAATTTGAAAATGAGTAGAATTAAGAAAAGCCAAAGAACCTTTAAAAAGAAAGAGTAATGATGAAGTATTGTTCCTTCCAATGTTAAAAAAAAAGAGTACTATCACAAAAATAAATGGTCCAGGAAAGAGAGGCTGTACACAACAAAAGTCAGTACAGACAGCATCAAAATTTAGTGAGCATATATAGGGCAGCTCTAGTCTGTTTTATAGGGTTGCTATGAGTTGGAATCAACTCGATGGCAATGGGTTTTTTTTTTTTTTTAATAAAGGATTATTTAACAAAGGCACATGACAACTGGTAAACGATTTAGGAAAAAAATACTATTTGTATTTGCTTTTACAATAAGCTACTTCTGTTTGTCACAGCAACATCTCTGTGCAACAGCAAAAGCAAGTATCATCTTCTTTTTAAATTATTAGGCTTCACAATAGGACGTCAAACACATCAAGCTATTTCTAGTATATTTGTATGGTTTTCAAAGCATAGTGAATCCTACTTCAGATCAGTTTCTCTAGCTCTTGTTAAGAAGGGATGATCTCACAATATCACTTGTCATATTATTAGCAAAAGCCCAGTTGAGAAGTGACATTTATAAAAAACTGTCTGAAGGGCAAGGTGGTACTTCTCTGCCTCTGGATCAGGTCAGACCCTGATCACAAGAGTACACTCTCAGATGATATTAACTTGGTCCTTCAAAATACTGCCTTGAGCATGTTTGTTAGTAATCTGCTGTGTTTTCCCACCTCTTGATATGTTACTTATACAGTGAAACCTGAGACAGCCAGAACTCGACAGGACTGCCTCATTTTTCCAGGTATCACAAGTTCTCCACCTTTGACAGAGTGCAGTCTTACCACTTTTCTATCACTCGTTTTAGTGGAAAATGTTTGCGTTTTCTTTCTCTGACAAGGTTTCTGCCTTACACAGGTTCCAGCTTTCACAGGTCTTACTGTATTTATGTTTTGCCTGGCTCTGATTTTCTGTTTTAAATCACATATACACACAGATATAGGAGGAGCCCTGGTGATGCAGCGGTTAAGTGCTCGGCTGCTAGCCAAAAGGTCGGCAGTTCAAACCCACCAGTGACTCCATGGGAGAAAGATGTAGCAGTCTGCTTCCATAAAGATTTACAGCCTTGGAAACCCTATGGGGCAGTTCTACTCTGTCCTATATATAGGGTCACTATGAGTTGAAGGGGCTCTGGCAGTGCAGTGGTGAAGAGCTCAGCTGCTAACCAAAAGGTCGGCAGTCTGAATCCACCAGTTGCTCCCTGGAAACCCTATGACGCAGTTCTACCCTGTCCTATAGGGTCGCTATGAGTTGGCATCGACTAGACAGCAACAGGTTAGGTCTGGAGTTGGAATTTGACTCGCTGGCAGTAGTTTTATATGTACATATATAAATAAAATGTTTTTAAAAATTTTTAAAGAATTTAATCGGTGTTTCTTTGTTTTTACTTACTTTCAGTGCCTCACAGCTCTGAAATGGTCCAGCTAGACAGTCTTAGTTGTTTTCTAGTTCACGTGTGTGTGTGCAGGTAATTTCTTGTTAAAAGGCAGGTCTCTGCCCTGAATGCCACAGAGCCTTCATACTTCGAAAGTGGCTCATTTTGTGTCTTTTATTTTCTAGTTTACCCTAAAACTCCTCCTACTGCATCTTATACTCACAGATACTGCGTGGGTCATTCCTGCACATTAGACAGACGTGCAGCATGTTTCTTCCATTATGGCCACCCAAGCAGATTGTTCCCTAAATGTTCCCTTAGAGAGCGATTGGTCTTTTTTTCCCCCTAAATTTTATTTATTTTGTTGTTGTTGTTGAGAATATACACAGCAAAACACATACCAATTCAACAGTTTCTACATGTACAATTCAGTGACAGTGATTACATTCTTGAGTTGTGCATCCATTCTCACCCTCCTTTTCTAAGTTGTTCCTCCCCCATTAACAGAAACTCACTGCTCCCTAAGGTTGCTATCTAATCTTTCCAGTTGCTGTTGTCACTTTGATTCTATAAAGATAGTTCTCAAAAGAGCATAATGCTCAAGGCAGACATTCTTTACTAGGTAAGCTAGACTATCGTTTTAAGAAGACTTCGGGGGATATTTTCGGTTTAGGTTTAAAGATTAACACAGGACAATAGTTTCAGGGGTCCATCCAGTCTCCATGGTCCCAGAAAGTCTGCATGCAGTCCATGAGAATTTGAAATTTTGTTCTGCATTTTCCCCCCTTTGATAAGTATTCTTCTATAGAATCTTTTATCAAAATATTCAGTAATGGTAGCCAGGCACCATCTAGTTCTTCTGGTCTCATGGCAAAGGATGCAGTGGCTCATGGAGGCCACACATTTCATATCCCACCTATTCCTAACTCTCCTTCTTCCTCTGTTGCTCCAGGTGAATGCAGACCAATTGTTGTGCCTTAGATGGCCACTTACAAGCTTTTAAGACCCCAGACAGTACGCAGCGAACTAGGAGGTAGAACAGAAGCACTAAACACGTTATTAGGCCAATTAACTGGGATATCTCATGAAACCATGACTCGAACCTTCCAAAACAAGGAAGCAAATCCCATGGGGTGTTTAGTTGTACATAAGCAGCCTCAGCAGCTAGTCTTATATTTCTATGTAATTAGTTAGGTAAACAATGGTATAATTTAAGTCAATTTTTTCATGGATACATTCTCACTTTTTCAAATACTTTAAATATTATATACTAAAAATAAAATTAGTTGAGCATTAACGTTTCACAAAAGAGTACAATCAGTTTGGTTAGTGCCTTTCTACATTCTCTGTAGATAAATATTAATTTTATAAACATACCAGCAAACTCTCTTAGACTTGCCAGCGTAATAAAAATAGTAGCCCTGGTGGTGAAGTGGTTAAGATCTCAGGCTGCTAACCAAAAGGTTGGAAGTTGGAATCTACCAGCTGCTCCCTGAAAACCCTAAGGGGCAGTTCTACTCTGTCCTACAGGGTCACTATGAGTCAGAATCGACTCAACGGAACATAACAACAACACAGGGTTTCCTATGCTCACCTACTACTAGTATTGTCAATTTTTTTAATAAACATAAGATTCAATAATATGAAACTAGAAGAAACAGCCCATTTAACCGTCTAGCAAGTCTCTGTCTACAGTACTTTCTAAATTTCTATACAGAAGAGTATTTTCCACAGTTTGACATATAACTTGGAGCCATAATGGTAATAAAATATTTGAAATACAACAAAGCACACAAACTATCTGTTACCTTTTTCAACTAACTGTAGACTTTTACTTTTGTGTATTTCAGGTAGTTCGCATTTAAAATATATTGTAATATTTATAAAATGTGAATTTACCTAATTATATTATTGAGACTTCGTGTCTAAGAATAAGCTATATTGTACCATTTATTTGATCATTTTTGTATCTCAGGAAACTCCCCCACACAAGTGGCACAAGTAAAACAATGCTCCTTATCTTGTTGACCTCTCCATATTGGAGTGCCCTAGGAATAAAAGTGTACAGAACTGGAATACCAATTCCGGATTCCTCCAGAGTCTAGTGAAGTCGTACTAGTTAAAAGCAACAGAACAGCGCTCTGGCTTAAGAAGCAACAACAATGAGATAAACTGTCAGCAGAGCCAATAACAATCTATCCATTCTATAAAGCTGATAATTACTATCTTAATAGCTGTTTCGTTGTTCATACCTGAGTAAACACAATTAAGATAAAAATATGTGTTTATAAAAAGATGCTGTAACATGAAAGGAAATACTGAACTGATGAAAAAGATTAATACTGAAAATGTATATTGTAGAGAACATGTCTGGAACTATTTGAGCTATTTAAACTATTTTGAAGTATATTTATCCGAATTGGATAAATATAAAACAAGAGATTAAGAAAGTATATGACAAGGAGCTAAACAAGAAAGAAAGACTGTTAGAAAACTAAAATACAGTATCACAATTAGAAGAACAAGTAACAGAATTGATAATGAAGAAAATCACAAGGGTGGTATGACAGAATGGTAAGAAAGAGGAAGAAAATAATGATAAAAACAAAGGTTTAAAAACCGGATACTCTAATCCTAAAAAAGGACAAGAACAAATGATAAGAAAAAAAAATACTCAAAGATACAAGAAAATCATCCCATGGGAGTCATAGAAGATGGTGGAGCAGAAAGATTCAGGAATTGTTTCTCCACCCAAACAATTACTGAGCTGGCAGGAACTCTCTGAATCAACTTTTTGAAACTCTGGAGTCTAGTCAGACATTTGTAGTGGCCAGGGAGAGCTCAATGAAAAGGCTAGTAAATTTTAGTAAAAATATTACACGACATACAAAAAACTAGTAAAGTATGCCTATTTATGGGGAAAAACGAATTTAACAGAAATCATCCCTGAGGACATACACTGCAATTATTAGTCAAAGACATTAAATCAACCATCTTAATTACAGTCGGTGAACTAAAGAAAATCACGGACAGAGAACTCAAGGAAATCAGGAAAACGACCTCAGAACGAAATCAGAATATCAATAAAGATAAAAATTATATTTTAAAAAAAGGGAGCCAAACAGAAATTCTGCAGCTGAAAAGTACAATAACTGAAATGAAAAACTCACTACAGCTGTTTAATAACAAATCTGAGCAGGCAGAAGAAAAGATTAGAGAATTTGGAGACAAAAAAACAATTGAAATGATCCAGTTTAAGGAGCAGAAAGAAAAAAGAATAAAGAAAAATGAACAGAGCCTGAGGAACCTGTGGGACATGATTAAGCGTAGCAACATATACATTATCAGAGCCCCAGAAGGAGAAGAGAGAAAAGGCAGAAAAAATGTTCGAAGACATAATGGCCATAAACTTCTCAAATCTGATGAAAGACATGAATATACAAATCCAAGAAGCTCAATAAACTTCTTAAAAGAGAAGGTAAACTCAATGAGATCCACGCTGAGACTCACTATGATCAAACTGTCAAATCTCAAAGACAAAAGAGCCTATTCAGATTGATACAGTAATTCATTAAGAGGAGAAAAAACTTTGCTCTTGGAGTTTTTTTCACAGAACGCAAATTAAACGAAATCTGTATCATTCCAAAGCGGAAAGAAAACTGCAAACAAGAATTCAACCTGCCACCATGTTTTAGGTAATTTGCAAAATAATTTTTGATGTATTTAAAATATTCTGAAAGCTCCACTGCATATTAGTTACAAAGTCCTCTTGTAAAAACCACACAAAATAGCACTAAACTTGAACACAAAGAAAAATCAAAATATAGAACTCAAGAAAACAGAAACAGTGACTGTGGAAGAACTAGGTATTGAGGACTGAAACAAATTAAAAGAGTTAAAACTAAAAATTCATTGTAAATATGATTATAATATAAATAAATATAATAAGGACAAGAAATTACCTAGATCTAAACGTTCAATTTATATACTTCAAATAATACTGGAAATGGGAGAAGACAGTGAAATTTTAATTTCTTCATCTTACATAATGTAAAAAAAAAAAAAAACCCCATTGCATAGCGACTCTACAGGACAGAGTAGAACTGCCCCTTAGGGTTTCCAAGAAGCAGCTGATGGGGCAGTTTTACTTTGTCCTATACAGTTGCTAAGAGTCAGAATCAGAGTCAGGTTTGGTTTTTTGGTCTGGTGTTGACTAAAACAAGAATTATCATATGCGCATCAAATCAAAAAAAAAAAAAAAAAAAAGATATCAACAGCTTTTACCATGGTCTTTCCTGATCCTCGGGGTCCAATAATGAGTACAGAGTTACTTTCTCCATGGATAGCAGTTCTTTTTAGCAACTCAATTAAGTGTCTGAAATGATATAAACAGGCCAAAATTTGAAACGGTAAGTTGGAATAGTTTGCCACAAGCAGAATCTGAATACAGACAGAAAACATGCATTTCTCCCTTTGCTTCTTCTGAGTACTTGATTTAGGCTCTAAATAGTCCCACAAAGTAGGCCAATGCTGCTTCTCTGGAAATTTCAGATAAACCTAGGAAGTTTGGAATATCTTAGTCTGATGGCAGCAGTAGTACTCAGAACCTTTGGATTCAGAATCCCTTCTCCCACATCTATCACTCTGGCCTTTTATTCCACAGCTGACTGCCGACTACTGGGGCAAAAGGTTGAGAATTCTCTCCATAATCCCAGATAGTAGAAACAACACAAGATTGAAAGTTAAAAGCCTTTCTCATTATAGAAACATATCTGCTCTTGCTTCATGATATTCAATGTTTCTACACACAAAACAAAATTTTCTGCTTCTATAAAAATATGTTAGCCTTATTTAAGATCAAATTTGCAAAAGCTGGACAATATCTGTAAGTTCATAAAGTTCGTAAGTAACTAAGAAAAATTCATAAGTAGGTAAGTTCATAAGTAAGTTCATGAAGACAAAGGGTTAGACTTACTTGTATTGTACTTGTACTCCAAATAGGTTACTATGTGAACTCTGACGACAAAATCTTTCACGTAAAAATCTTTGTACCTGATAAAAATAAAGTGAATAAATATAAATGAAAATATTACATATATAATAAAAAATGAATAAGAAAGTAAATTTTCACCAAAGAGAATTAGGTATTAAGGAATCAATTCAACCCTTCCTAAATACTTCTTCTCAAGAATTCTGGCACCACTTCAACTTCAACTCAACCCACTGCTGTCTAGTCGATTCCAACTCATAGCAACCCTATAGGACAGAGCAGAGCTGCTCCATAGGGTTTCTAAGGCTGTAAATCTTTATGGAGGCAGACCGACACATCTACCTCCTGTGGAGCGGCTTGTGGCTTTCAACCGCCAACCTTCTGGTTAGCAGCTGAGCACTTAAACCACTGTGTCATCAGGGCTCCTTGACACCACTTCAAGGACTTATAAAATTAACATTTTTTTCTATAGAGTCTCTATGAGTCAGAATCAACTTGACGGCAATGGGTTTGGTTTGGCTTTGGTTCACCAATACCATGTCCCAAAAAAGGATGAGAATTTTGTGGTGAAGACTGAAAGGAGAGGGAGAATTACTTACTTGAGTTACAACAGCAACATGAGGGCTATTTTAATGCATGTGAATGAATGAATACTTCAGTTTGTATAATGTGTCAGCCAAGGAACAAAGACAGGAGCAAATCTAATAATGCACTCAAACCAAATAACGCACTACACACTCAATCTATAGAGACCAACAAATCTAAACTGGCTTGGCTTAAGTCCTATTAATTCATACCTGTAATAAAAGTCAGGATTCCAAGGAAATCAAAGAAGCTGCAAAGTCCATATACAGTAAAACCTCTGAAAACTGGAACCTACGTAAGGTGGAAACCTATCAGAAGAAAAACTGAAATATTTTCCACTAAAATGAGTGATTGAAAAGTGGTAAGACTGCACCCTATCAAAGGCAGAAAACTTCCAAAACCTGGAAAAACAAGGCAGTCCTGTGGAGTTCCGGCTCTCGTAAGTTTCACTGTAGTTACTGAGGAATCTATTCAATGCAGAGCAAAATACAACTAAAATGGCATGATCCATGCCTACGAAGACATCGCAAGTAAACTGGAAAGAAATGATACATTCAAGGAAAGAACCACAAAAAGCTAGTAACTCAGCATATAAACAAATGCTCGATTATGTGACAGAAATCACATTTAGCTAGGCTATAAAGTAAGGAGTCATTGGAATGAATTAAGTAAAAATACTTGTAAGGAACTAAATTTTGAATTGGCCTCGGAATGAAGGGCTTAGATTTAGTTGTCAAAAATCATGCTAGAGAATCTAGTACATTTTTTCAAAAGATGGACAGTTTAAGTCATTCCTTTTCTCTATCTGCTGTTAATACAGAGGTCCTCCAGGGACAAAAATCTCAGGGGGTTATTTCAGATTTGGCCCCAAGAGCTGAAACAAGAAGCTTCCACGATTGTTTGCTTCTCTTAGTCTGACAGCCTGAGACTGATCCTTCATGTACCCAAAATAGATGATTCTGAATTCTCTTTACATTTATCACAGGTTAAGCAAAGGAAACTATTCACTGGGGAGAGACTGGTGAACATAGTGTGTAAGCCCCATTCCCCTTTGGCAATATAGTCTAAAACAGAAGTTTTATTATGTGAGTTCACACTGATTAAAAAACAATCCATACTCACAGTTACAGAAGAAGTGAAAAGAATACGGGAATTGGTGCCAGAGGAGTCAATTAATGTAAATTTGAAAGGTTAACTTTTTCTAAGTTGTAAATTCTTTGTAGATAACAATAACACCTTTTGGCAAGCCTGTTTTGAAGATGAGGAACCCTGGTGGTGCAGTGGTTAAGCACTTGGCTGCTAACCACAGCACTGGCAGTTTGAACCTATCAACTGCCCTGCTGAAGAAATATGTGGCAATCTGCTTCCCTAAAGATTACAGCCTTGGAAACCCTATGGGGCAGTTCTAGTTTGTCCTATAGGGTTGCTAGGAGTCACAACTGACTTGACTTTAACGGGTTTTGAAGATTAAGTAATGCAAATTACCCGTATCATAATAGTTATTGTATAGATAATAGCTGATACTTGTAAAACACTTAAATGAACACATACAGGGGCTCATAATCACAATGCTTACTCCTGTGTTTAATTTCTCTATCTGGTTAACCTTTCTACTTCAAAAAGAAATAAAGGTTTTATAAGGGGATACCAATAATGTTTAGTTTCGATTAAAGAAAAAAAAAAGTAATTCAGATCAAGCCTAATAAACAGAAACGTCAGGGTAGAAATATACACCCTTACTCACTAGACTATAAGCTACTTGAGGGCAGAGACAGATATATGCTCATTACCTGGAATACAGTATATACTTAATATTAAACATTCATGAAACAAACTAGGAATAAAAGGGAACTTCTTCAACCTGATAAAGAGCAGCTACCAAAAACCCACAGCCAACATCATACTTAATGATGAAAAACTGAATGTTTTCCTCCTAAATCAGGAACAAAGCAAGGACGTCCACTCTCACCACTCCTATTCAACATCGTATTGGAAGTCCTAGCTAATGCAATAAGGTAAGTAAATAAAAAGTATACAGATAGGGAAGGAAAAAGAAAAATTATCTCTATTTGCAGATGGTATGATCTTGTATACAGAAAATCCTAAGGAATCAACTAAAATACTATCAGAACTAATAAATGAGTTCAACAAGGTTGTAGGATATAAAATCAACATACAAAAATCAATTGTATTACTATACAATAGCAACGAACTAACCAAAAGTGAAATAAAACAACAACAACAAAAACAATTCCATTTATAATGGCATCAAAAAGAATAAAATACTTAGGAATAGATTTAAGGAAAGAAATGTAAAACTTTAAAGACAATATTAAACTAAACTGAAATCAGACCAGATTTAGGAAGACATAAGGTAAAGTTAGGATTCCAATTATGCAAAGAATTACAAAGGATAAAATTAAGAAGTAGCCTAAGATATGAATATAAAACAATATCAACTGAGAAAAGGGCTCAAGAACAACCCTAACAACAAAAGCCATCTGTTGGTACACATTTAATACTGACAGTTTAGAATGCTTTGCTTCCGAATGATTTTTCTTATAACTATTTACAGATATCTATTTGAGAATGAAAAGAGTAAGTCTTCATAAGTGGTAAAGAGCAAATCCAAGTTAAGAAGATAACTACTTCCTTGATCACCTTTGTACAGTAATAGGCTTTGAGATGAATGAAAATATATACTAACCTGTGAAAGGCATTCTGCATGTATTAGACTGTTACTCTTTGACTTACGACTGCTCATTTCAAGAAATTCAAATCCTTTAAAAAAATAAAAAAACATATTAGCGTGACTATAGTAAAGACCACTGGCTTAATAATACTTGAGTTAACTATTATTATAGAATCAAAATAAATACAAGTGTTAAAACATAAAAAATGTTCACATTTCTCAAACTTTAAAATCTTTAACAGCAGCTCCCTTTTCTCCAAGTATACTTATTTGACACTCCCACATCACACTTTATATGGTTCTTACAGATCAATTCCCCTTTCCCTCAATCTATTATTCTCCTTCACTAAATTGTTTTGTTTTTTTTTTTTTAAGAAAAAACAAAACAAAAAACCTATGAGCCTTCCTTTTACCTAGATGTTTCTCCCTCCATATATCTCACAGCATCATTCCTTTCAGAAAGTCTTTCCTCTGTGGCTCTATTCATCAACCATATCCAAAAAGCACTAGAAACGAGGTTAAATAACTGTTCTGAAGAAACCCATAATTGTATTCTCTATCTGTAATCAAATTATACTAAACAAAATTATCTGTTTACTTGCCAGTGTCCCCAATTTGAGCTCATTTTTATATTCTGAGCATCTTAGCATAATGCTCAAAATAAAGTTAGCAATAAAATGATGTCGGGAAAAAAATACACGTATAATGAAAAAAAATTTATAACTTTTGTAAAGTACTCTTCAAGGGCAACATACTCATAGATAAAACCCCTTTGGCTAAAAGATCTAATTGTCTTAGCACTGATTTCCTATAGGAGTACTTTAACAGTCAGGTAGAATAGCTTAAGCAATGTTTACTTATGTACAGGCATTGCTACAAGTGCTTTCCCTTTATTAACTTATGTGATCCTCATAAAAACCCTATGGAATAAGTACTATTATCATAATCCCTTTTTAAGATTAGAAGGCATACAAAGGTTATGTAACTTACCAAAACAGGACCCAAGCAAGTTATACTCTTAACCAAGTGTTTCCTCCTTAACCAACTTTTTAAAAAGGAAGTACAAACAAATTTCAACAACTTGAAGGCAGATCAGTCATTGCGGCAATATTATATTTTATGTTCATATTTATTAATTTCATATTATTCTGACAACTAGAAACCAATCCTGAGAATGCTGTTTTCTTCTTCTCTGGAAATGTTAACAGACCAGCACAAAACACGGCCTTGACAGAGAGCAGGCAAATTTTCCTGTCCTCTCACTGTATATGCCAGGTACCTAAGGTGTAAACCACCAAAAAGCTCTAGGCTCCAGGCTCCCAAAATAGAAATTAAGAGTAGTCTACTGACGATTAAACTCATCCCTTAAGAATCTTCTTTCTCAGAAGTAATAATCAGCATATTCTATTCTACTGTATAGAAAATTTAAACCCAATTCACTTCTGTCACTAGCTGCCTCTATCTCCTTTTGGATCACTGGTACTTCTTTTTTTTAATTTATAT